AAATTTATTATATTTTGGTATATCACATCAACAGTATTTTTACTAATTATAGCATGTTATGTTAATAATTTTTTAATTTATTTTTTAAAAACAGAGTACAAATAATTTAATATTTTAAGAAAAAAAAACAAAGTATCATTTTAGAGAATTAAAACTTAAACTTGAGACGGTTTCGCTTAAAGACTAGGAGATTAATCACTTACACGAATGTGTGGAACAAATTTTTTTATATCATTAATGAATATATGGTTATAGAGGTAAAAATAATTTATTAATGTGACTAATGGATGAAAAAAATTAATAACATAACATTTTGTGATTAATTAAAAATGTTACTGATTTAATATCTTTAAATACAGTAGACTTTCTCCAAAGTGAAAAGGATAGACCTTTAGGATATTACAAAACTACGTATTATCATTTTTTATGGAATTTTTTAATTCCACTAATTAAATTTTTATCTTAGAAGTTATGTTTATACTAATAATTTATTGATTTGAGTGGAAACGTTTGATTTTTTTAAGTAAAATCTCGAATTCAAGTCTTATAAATGAATAAACAAGTATTGAAAGAGTTTTTTTTTAATGATATCTGATGTGATTTGATTTCAAATTAATCGAAATTTAATGTGATTACCGAATATCAAAATGTTAATATAAAAAAAAAAAATTATACCCATATACTACAAAGATGAGATTTGATATGACGAAGGAATTTAGAACGGAATGCAACGGTTATCGTTGATTACCATTTCTTGGATGGCCATGTGTTAAAGAGAAATGTTAGTGACATTTTTTTTCTTGCATTCTTTTCAAACACTTGTCATATCATTGATTCATGTGGTAGTGGTTAAGTATCTTTTTCATTATTGATATATTCTCGCTATGGGCTGAACAACCACCAGGGACTGTGGACCTGTGTTTGTACACGAGACCCCTCCACTAGTGAGAATCTTTTCTAATATTTCGGTCTTTATTTAAAACAGCCTACCCCATAAATGTGAACTAATGAAGGGCAGAAACAAGGTGGTCCCAATGCCCCTGAATTGTTGAGCATTTTGATATCTTAACTTTAACGGTAGGTTTGAGTTAGAGAAAATAAAGAAAAAATAAGAAAATTTTTTAATTAATTAAATTATTTTTTATTTTTTAAATTTAAACATATTATAACTTTTTATAATATTTTTCTTAAATTTTTTATTTTATATCATCAATAATAAATATAAAATTTTTATTTTTATTTTTATTTTTTTTGGTTTCTTGCTCGGTATCCGAGGCTTCGCCCTGACTAATTCAGATCCGACCCACGTCGCGCACCTGGAAATGGTGGGTGAGTCTCTCAACGGGGACTGTTGCATACACAAGGGCTCGAACTCGATACCTTACTTAAGCTGAAACAAGTCGCTTACCACTTGATCCAACCCTTCGTTGGTAATATAAAATTTTTATGATTTAAAATCCAATTATTCGAGTTATTATTTGATGATCTTTTTCTCTTCTGATCGCATCCTCCCGAACTAGGGACGGAGCCTAGAAGTTTAGTTGGGGGGAGAAATTTATTATTAAAGATTTTAATTTTTAAAAGTATTTTTCATGATATTAAATTATTTTTTAAAAAAAATTTTGTATAGAAAATTTATTTGTGGTCTTTTTAATTGATATATTTTTAGCAAAACTTAGAAATAAATATATGTTTTTAATTATAATAAAAATTGACATATCATAGTAATAAAGTATGCAATGATCAATTGATGAATGAATAAAGAAAAGAAAAATTAATGTGTTTGTTAGTTGAATTTTTAATAAATTATGAGGAAAAACACTACAAAATTAATTTGTTTTAATGAATTTACATTGAAAAAGATAAAAACAACATGTTTTTAAAATAAGAATGAGAGTGTTTTGAATTATTAAAACAATATCGTTTTAAAGTGTTTTTCTCTTAATTTTTTAAAGGTATTGATGAACACTAATATTATAAAAAAATATTAAAATATTTCTTTTAGAAAATGAACTATAACTTAAATTGATTTAAA